CATCTTTCTGGTATTCTCTGCTTTTAGCCAGGATCCATCTGACATCAGCAATGATATTCCTCATTCCACGTCCTTTTCTGAATCCGCGTTGAATTTCTGGCTGTTCCCTGTGAATGTACTATTGCAACTGCTTTTGAATGAGCTTTAGCAAAATTTTACTTGTGTGATATTAATGATATTGTTTGATAATTTCCGCATTCTGTTGGATCACGTTTCTCTGGAATGGGCACAAATATGGATCTCTTCCAGTCGGTTGGCTGGGTAGTTGTCTTTCAGATTTCTTGGCATAGAGGAGTGAGCACCTCCAACGCTGCATCTGTTTGTTGAAACATCTCAGCTGGTATTCCATCAATTCCTGGAGACTTGTTTCTTGTCAATGCCTTCAGTGCAGCTTGGACTTCTTCCTTCAGTACCATCGGTTCTTGATCATATGCTACCTTCTTGAAATGGTTGAACGTCAACAGATTCTTTTTGATACAGTGACTGTATATTCCTTCCATCTTCTTTTGATGCTTCCTGTGTTGTTCAATATTTTGCCCACAGAATCCTTCAGAATTGCAACTCGAGGCTTGAATTTTTTTTTTCAGTTCTTTCAGCTTGAGAAATGCCAAGCATGTTCTTCCCTTTTGGTTTTCTAACTCCAGGTCTTTGCATATTTCATTGTAATACTTTAACTTTGTCTTCTTAAGCTGCCCTTTGAAATCCCCTGTTCAGCTCTTTTACTTCATCATTTCTTGCTTTGGCTTTAGTTCCTCTACGGTCAAGAGCAAGTTTCAGAGTCTCTTCTGACATCTATCTTGGTATTTTCTTTCTTTCCTGTATTTTTAATGACCTCTTGCTTTCTTCATCTATGATGTCCTTGATGTCATTTCCACAACTCGCCTGGTCTTTGGTTGTTAGTGTTCAACGCGTCAAATCTATTCTTGAGATCGTCTCTAAATTCAGGTGGGATATTCTCAAGGTCGTACTTTGGCTCTTGTGGACTTGCTCTAATTTTCTTCAGCTTCAACTTGAACTTGCGTATGAGCAATTGATGGTCTGTTCTGCAGCTGACCCCTGGCCTTGTTCTGTCTTATCATATTGAGCTTTTCCATCATCTCTTTCCACTGATGTCGATTTGACTCCTGTGTATTACATCTGGCAAGGTCCACGTGTATAGTTGCCATTTATGTTGTTGAAAAAAAGGTATTTGTAGTGAAGAAGTTGGTCTTGTGAAATTCAATCATGCGATCTTCAGCATAATTTCTGTCACCATGGCCGTATCTTCCAACTACCAGTCTTTCTTCGTTTCCAACTTTCACATTCCAATCACCAGTAATTACTGGTGCATCTTGATTGCATGTTTGATGAATTTCAGACTGCAGAAGTTCATAAAAATTTTCAACTTCTTCATCTTTGGCCTTAGTGGTTGGTGTGTAAATTTGAATAATAGCTGTAACAACTGGTAGGCCTTGTAGGCGTGTGGATATTATCCAGTCACTGACAGTGTTGTACATTAGGATAGAACTTAAAATGTTCCTTTTGTATAGTCACCTTTTTGCCATGCTTAACAGCACCTCGGTGGCACTCTAGTTTTTTATCTTGCTTCCTAGTTCTGAATATGCAAGCTAAGATATTAGCAGTCAATGTGTAACTTTCCTTTGACTAATGCTCTCAATGGAATAATGATTGAACTTACACAAGTGGAATACCTCATAAATTTATATTGGTAAGTCTATAATGCATATTATCATAGGAACCTTCTCTTAAGGGTGGAGTGAGACAGTTTGGATACAGCATAAGTATAGGGAACTCTTTCTTGTTATTCTATGTAGTCTGGCCTCTAACTGGAATGTAAAGCTAAGTCAGAAGCCTGCATTTAACCCTGTGAACATGGAGGGATTTAGTGTCTCGATGACTGATTAACAACACAACTAGATGCTTAGAACATGATGTAGTATGAGTTGGGTTTACATCTGCTGCCTTTTCAAAGTGGGCTTAGCAGTTTTTTTTTTTATTAGATGTGCTCTTTGGGTTGGGGAATAGCGATTTATTTCCTTGGTTTTAGACTTTATTTGTAAAGCTAGTTAGCTTTCCTTTAGATAAATACTTTTTGCACGTGTATACCTATTTGTACTCTCAGCTACTTATGTACACAAGTGTGAAGGTTTTTCAGGGAGCCGAGGATCTGGGACAGGCTGATTCTGAGCTAAACAAAGCTCCTTTAAAGTAATATGAGCTGCTGCCATCTATCAATTGTACATTAAAGGACTCTAATAGACAAAGATTAGGAGTCAGGCAGAAAACATACATTGTAAATATACAGTTACTTATAAATACAGGAATTTCTTATTTCACGTTTTTCTTTATCATAAAATTAGAATATTCATTTTGTATTTAAAGACTACCTACGCATAGATATATAATTTTAACAACATATTTTCTCTATCCAGATTAACCAGGTGAACAATACTAGGACAACTGGGTCCTTGGAATGATATTCAGTAACAAAGTACTGCAAAATGGGTCCCCTGTTTTCCAGCCTTGTCCAGAATTCTTGGTTATGTATTTGTATTTATTGCATTTTACCCTTTAAATTTTAAACCCAACCCTTGTGAGGATAAAGCCAATGTTTCAGTCTTGAATTGGTAAATAAAATATTTTAAAACTGGTCCTAATTTTAAAATTGATCCTAAATTATCATCCATTTCCATTGTCTGGCATTTTCTAACTTCCCACTAAAAATATCTCCCAGAATTTTTTCGTGATCTATCCCAATGATTATAAAATCAATGAAATAATCATATACAGATCATTACTTCCTCAAAATGGAATTAAATGTGTACCAAATTTTACTCAGGCTGTGTATTTGGTCAGATGTTCTTAAGGCCATGACTTTGTGGGGGGTTTGTGTATGTGTTTTACACATATTGGGTATTAAGGCTTGTTTTATATGTGTTAATTCTGTCATTCTTGGGTGACTTAGGAAGTTGATTTTATTTGATTTAAATGGAGGTAGGTAAATAAAGGTTTAATTATCTTTTTCTGAAAGTGAGTGGTCAATTTGAGGGCATTAATAAATGTTGTTCTTAATATATGCAAAAAGTGTATTGCTTTCTGTGACAGAAGTTAAGACCTGAGTGTCTGGAAGTTGTTACCCTCAACAGTTTCTCCCGATTTGCTGCAAAGGCACATGGCTGATTTTAGAAACGAAGACTACTACAGAAAAGGAAACCTGGAATTGGGAAGTTTCATACTTCAGATGAAATTCAAGTTTGTGAGCATCATTGCAGAATGTGGTGCATCACTGTTACATGGGTTATCACTTGCTGTTCCTACTGAGACTGAGACTCCAGGGTCATGTTCTTTAACAATAGGAAGGGTGAAGACTGGACTTAATTGCTGTTCAGATTATAAAAACTCAATTGATGCCATCATATTTGAATGTGCAATGTAGTCTTAAAAGTCAACCATTAATTATCACATCTTTTGCCTCTTAAGAGGTTTCTTATAGGAATTGAATTTGATCCTTTTATTGTGCAGGGTTTTTCTGTTGTTGGGTAAGGTGGGGCCACAGGGCATGGGACTGGTAAGCCTTTTACAGTTTACTATATTTTGGATCCTTGTGTGGTGCAAATGGTTAACACGTTCAAGTGAAAGGTTGGAGGTTTGGGTCCATCCAGAGGTGTCTTGGATGAAAGGTCTGACAATCTATTTCTGAAAAATCAAGCCTTGTAAACTCTAAAGTACAGTTATACTCTGACACACATGGAGACGCCGTGAGTTGGAATCGACTCGACAGCAACTGGTTGGTTCTATGTCTTTTTATCAACAGTATCCCCCAAATGTGATTGCGCTAGCAATCCTGTATTTGAAGATTTAAATGTGTATATTATCTAACTGCTTACTGTATTTGGACTGCCTTTATTCCTAGAGATGAAAATGAAAATCTCCTGTCAGGTCAAGTTCTTGGGTAACATAAGT